GGGGGTCGTACGAGCGTCGTCGACCCACCCGACGAGAGGGGGGGGGGTCGTGGATCTCTTCGGGAGTGGCTCGAAGAGACGTGTTGCGAAACACAGGAAAAGCATGAAGAAAAGGAAGAAAGGTCTAGAGGAAAAAGGGGAAAACACAGAAATGCATTTTAAAAATGATTTTGATATAGTTTTGATATGATTTTGGTATGGTTTTCCTTTTCCGAAGGATGGAGGCAGGTTCCCCAAAGCGACCTGGAAAGGCTACCAAAAGGTCAAGCTTTGGAGTTGCCCAAAGGCTTGAGAAAAAATAGCAAATCATACCAAAACAATAACGAAACCATAAAAAACATACTTTACATGCATGCTTCTGTCACTGGCTTGGAAGTCTTAAAAATAGCAGGAAGAAAAGGAAGACGGTCTAGAGGAAAAAGGTAAAACACAGAAAGGCGCCAAGAAAACGGAACCTCAAAAAATGTAGCTTACATTTATTCAAAAAATGTAACTTACATTTTTTAAGGTGCCCCTAAGAAAATGTAACTTACATTTTTTAAGCCCAAAGTTGCAAAAAATGTAGCTTACATTTAGACAGGTCCCCCCTCCCTTAGGGGTGGGGATGGTTGGAACAGGTAGAAGCCCACAAGAACAGATTCAAGCCCCTACTCACCTGGCTATTTTGCTGTTTTTGTGTCCACAAGTCTTTTGTGAATCGAGGGGGGCAAAAACAAAAGGTTAATGCTAGTACGTAGATCCTTCAGGCAAAAAGAAAGGGCATGAGGAAAGTCAGGAAAGCTTTGGCGTTGGATGATGAAGCCCACCCGGCATCTTTCAAGCCTGGCCAAGAGAACTGGTCAACTGCCCACCTTCTGGAAACTAAGAGAAGCGTCCATTTGGCAGGCGCCCTTTGGGCAGGCAATCTTCTGTTGGATTGTTGGTGGTGTATCGACGAGGTAAATGAACATATACATCAGCCTTGGGGATTCGTACAATTATACTGCATTTTGTTGAAGAACATTTCGTGAACCGTTATCACCCTCCAACTGAACCCGTGGAGTGAGTGGTGACATTGAAATTGTGGGGCGATCTTCAATCTCCGAGTTTTGTGGATGTTGAAGCATGGTGCGGGATTCCGGTGGAGCGTTGCCATCAACACACAGTAAAGGCAAGGGTCTTTTTGAGAATCCCTCGCCCATCACTGGTGGAAGGCTGAGAATCCCTCGCCCGTCGCTGGTGGAAGGCATTAGGGACATAATTGTATATCTACCATTCATCAGGGGTAAAAAGTTTTAGGGAATGCCCACGGTTGTTGCGAATATCCTGGAGCAAGTGGAACAATTGTCCTATCGGCGGTTTATGGAGTTGGGTGTGTTCTCACCACAAATCATGCATCTGGGTTTGGACATAGGCTCCAAGTCTTTGGGCTCGTGGACATGTCGCAAGACGATCAGTTTGCCCAGGCTCCATGTTCGACAAAACGCCCGGCAGGGCGTAGGGGCTGCAGCATATCCCAAGAACTGGTTGATCCACCGAAGGTCCAGCCTGGACCCTCTAGATGCGACAAGGTGGATAGCCCCTATCCGCTGGGGTCCAGACATGATGTGTTGGAGGTTCCTATTCTTTGCTTGGGGCTTTGGTGATCGGTGTAGCTCACCCCACAGGGCATGGCTGTTGATGAGAAGCGCACCTGGTGTGCTGAGCATGGCAAGCGCCTCCACGACGAGGCAGGGGGAACCCTGTGCGGGAGTGGGGCACCAAAGAATCACATTGAGAGAAGGACTGTTTTACACGGTTCAACCCCCAAAAATATCCAAGAATGATGCAATGATTTGTGGAGACCAAACATGCCAAACCACTGGAGATAGATGATCAAGGTCGCGTTCCCTTCCCTCTCCTCCCTTCTTTTCAGGTGATCCAGAAATACCGCGCCTCGATGCCAAAGAGCGTTCGAGCCGTGGCAGAGCGGTGAAAGGCTGAGCGGTGAAGGGCTGCGGATGAGCCAAGTGTGGATGGACTGACCAACCATCGCAGGATGCTGCTTCACCACACTATAGGTGAAGACATAAGACGTGATATGTGATAAGGCATAGTGCATTTTAATTGGGAGACACCCAACCAATGGGTTCGGGTCTATATATTGTCCTTCAAGGAGATCTATGTGGGGTGTCTCCCTAATTTAATACACACCCATATAATATATACATGACCTACGAAGACCCCCACTAGAGCAATTCCCTTTCGTATTTGTGGGCCCAGCTGCACCTACAAAAGCTATCAAAAAGTTGGTTTTCACAACCTGCCCTTGATGCATCAGGCTTCTGTCTCGCTGCTGACTGGATGACTGGACGGTTGGTGCTCCAAACGCATGGCATGTTCATCATTCATCCGTCCGCTCAGCAGCAGATTTAGTTCATGAAATTCAGAAAAAATGTGATCCGACCACAGGCTCATGGCACAATCTTTCAAGATCAGATCGATAGCTGTTGCTCTTGAAATAGGTTGTTTTCGGGAACGGTGGGACCAAACAGATTATTCCGAGGACAGCAGAAGAGCAAGTGAGCTGACTATCCATTGCCCCATTTTCTCTGAACGATCGATTCAACTGAGAGTGTCATTCCTGCTGTGAGCCATGCTTTCATGCTTCCTATCTCCGCTCGCGCGGATGCGACCTCTTCGGGGGCCGCCATCGCAAGGAACATGGGGCAAGGGTGCTGGAGTCAAAGGAACGTGTTACAACTAGTTGCAACCAGTGCGGGGAAGCAGGCTTGTTGCTTATCCAGTCAGTAATTAGTTGGGATAAGTTTGGTGCCCGCGAGAGTGTTCATGTTCGAAACCTCCGTAACCCTTTTTGCTCCTATCGTAATCCTATCCATAGTACACTCAACGCGGTCATGGTGCCATACATGGCAGATAAAACTTTTAGTCCCCTTGGACCCAGTATGACCCATGGTCATCGTGTCCACAAAGCAGAAAGCAAAGACTCAGGTGTGCAAGGTCCTTGCTTGAAGGATGTGCAAGTCCATCATGTGCCAACCTCGAGTCCCTCCGTTCTCCCCTCCTTGGAATCTTCAGTCATGTGAGAGAGAGAGAGGACACGGAGAGCTTGGATTCCAACCCATCAACAACAAGAGAGGTACTATACAGCCATGCAATCCATTGGCCCACTTCGCGTATCCAGTGAGAGATCCGACCTCGCATCCTCCTTGTTCCGCCAGTGCGCCGCTACGCTGCGCCGCGGCGGGGCGGTGCCGTGGAGCCGGGGGGCCGCGAGCGGCGCGAGGGGCGGAGGAAGCCTTTGTAAAGCTACTCATTGGATAAGGGATGCCCAAAAAGAACATGAAGGAGCTGTTTAGCCTCAGGTTTGTTTGCTACTCGGGTGTGTTTACTACTTGGGCACCTAGAACACGTTGGAGGAAACTTGCTTGCTGGCCGCTGGGCCATCTCAGTCCTTTCCAATTTCAACAATAGCCTTGGAATTTCTCGTTGGAAGGAACACTCTTGAGTCTTGAGGGCCATTTCTTTAAAGAAACATAGATGCCTGGAAACCAAGGAGGGTCCCCTCGCAGGCCTTCTCCAAATTTGAAAGGTGTGTGTGTGTGTGTGTGCTAAAGCTGGGGGTGCGCTGGCTAAACCTCCCGTTCACAGCTTCACGTACTTGATGGAACACGTCGCCAGCCTCGCCCGGCCATCACCTGCTCGCCTTGGGCAGCGGAATTCGCCGCGTCCAGGAGAACTATGCCAAGGTGGCTGTGGTGTACACCAAGTGCGGCGAGCTCTTGGCGCTCTACCGGAAGCGGAACGCCCGCAAGTCGCAGCTCGCCGCCCGGCGTTGAGAAACCGCAGTGGCCCGAGGTCGCTGAATGGGTGCAGTCTGACACCGACTGAGCAGACTTAGCAAGCATGGACCGGTCCAAAAAACTGGACGGACGCTTGCAACAAAGAAGAAACTTCTCTAAGTCACATTACCAACGATGCGCATGACTGGTTGGATGTTCCATGATGTTCCCTATATTGAGACCAACTCACTGGAACTAGATGGCCCAGGTAGATAGTCGCCACCGCAAGCTGCGAGCTGCGAGCCCAGGTAAAGATGTATGTCGAGCGCATTGCAGAAGATACCCACTCCTTGTTGGCCATTGAGAACTTCGTTCCCGGCCAGCTTGAGAGAGACGCCTAACGACGTGAAATATGGCAGCGGGAGTTCTGGGAGTGCTGGCTCCCTGCGCGCGATGGGCCTGAAACCCTGTGCTGAAGGCTGTTCCGAGGTTCCGACCATTTCAATATCCTACGAAGTGATTGCATGAGAGGGGGAGGTAGTAAGTACAGCATCGCGGCTTCGTATCAATCGAAAAGGAGCAGTTCGACAAAAATTGAATAGAGAGAGAGAGAGAGGGAGAGAGATCCAAATCAAATCACTTGGCTAAGTGATGCCCGAAACACCTCGTGTTTGTGGAGGTGTTTTATTGACTTCGCCTCCCAACGGCTGCAAGTGTTCCTTTCTTCATCCAAAAGTATCCAAAAGGGATCTGAGATATGATATGATATGATTACCGGGACCTTCCAACAGGTGGTTTTGGGACACCCCATAACCTCTAAGAGGCTATTTATAGACACCTCTTGGTGTCGGTCCTGGTAGTGATATCACATGTCACTCACATGATATCACTGGTTTTGGGTCCGGTGGGCGGATGTTCTGAACATCAAAGAAACACACACAGCACACAGCACACAGTGTGCCATGCTCCTAGTGGCGTCCTTGCTCCTAGTAGCGATGCCCTTTGCTCCTAGTAGCGTCCTCTTGTTCCTAGTAGTAAAGGCCAGGAGCCCCGGTTCGTAGCATCCGATCGCTCCGTTCGGGTAATAAGTTCTCCATCGATGGTGGCCTCGCGTGGCCTCAGGAAATCCCGTGCCCTACGTGTGAGCGGAGCTTTTGCCGAGGCAAGTGGCAATCTGCAGGATATAAGTATATATATATATATATACACTCCCGAAAACTAACATAGACCCTGACAATGGTCCCATGGAAGACTATTTTCCTCTACCAACCAGGGGTTGTCAGGTTCCATGTTAGTCTTCCAGGGTGTATATACTGTAATAGTTATGTAAGTATATAAGAGTAGGTATAAGTACAAGTATATATATAAGTATAGGAATGTATACTTCACATGCCAGGCTGCCAGGCCGATGGAGCGCCTGCGAAACGCATGGAACTTGAATCTAACCGTGGAAGGAGCCGTCATTATTTGATACTTTTATGTGATATGCAATGCTGTAAACATGTCCTTTACAGCTGAGCGTTTTTCACTGAAAAGCATGGAATGCTCCATGGTCGTTCACCATGCGGGGCGAGCTTCAACCCCTCCGGGAGTCGGTCAGGGCCGCGGATGGTGAAGGGCCGCCCGGCCTGGAAGATCATCTCCGGACGTGTGCGCATGAAGTGAGGCCGGCCACGCCGTGGTTCTTCATTTTTTCGGCGACCACCGGTGGTTTCAGGGCGAGGATCCGGTCCATCACGCGAGTGAGCTAGCGAGTGAGCTAGTGGGCGAGTGGCGTGGGTCTCTTCCAGGTGACTTTGTCGACCAATCTGTTGAAAGGCTGGAAAGTGCTGGAAATGAACAGGTCCTGGAAAGGTACATGTTCTATTTCGACCCTCCCAGCTGTCATGTTCGGTGTTGCGTTGAGAGGCGGGGGAGGAAAGAAATAGTAAATAGACCCAACAAAAGGGAACCTTCCTAACAAAAGGGATCCTTTCAACAACCTTCCAAACAAAAGGGGTCCTCTCCGTTTTTGCGGCGGATTTTGACTTCTCGAAGTAGTGACTCAATTGTGCTGCTTGGACGTGAGCTCGGAGCCCTTGATGAGTCATTGGCCAGTCCTCAGTGGTCGGTCGGGCAGTTAGCTCTTTCCTGGAGCTTTTTTGGACATCAAAGGATCGAACAAAGCCGAAAAAAATACGAAGCGTTCAGCTCAAGCTGACCAAAAAGGGAGGAAAAGGCCGTAGATTAGCAGACAAATCCGTTCACCATGGCTCGCCGCTCGTCCATGCTTTTGGTGGCTGTTTGCTTGGCCCTCTTCGGTCTTGCTGCCATGTCTTTTGTCTCAGCAGCACCTGAGGCTGCACGAACTGAGACACACAAAGACCGAGCAGCACAAGCCGCGGCCATCTCGGCTGCAGTGCTGACCGTGCCTGAGATCGCGCATGCTGGCAACTCGGGTTACGCATTGCTGCAGCTTGGCTGGGCTATTTTCATCATCTCCCTGGGCCCTGCTGTGCTCTTCTGGATCTACTTCAACAAGCCGGAGCTGCTGTGAGCACATTGAGGGCAGCTTCGATTTTTGAATGCCAGGAATTGACATTCCAATCCCCCTTGCTGATGCTTGGAGAAAAGCGGCCGGACATGCCCAGACGTATTTGTATGGCAAGTTGTTAGAACAAGCGCATAAATAATGAATAATAGAGCTTGTGCTTTTGACTTTCTGGCTGAGAGAGAAAGGGAGAGAGGGAGAGAGAAAACGATTCCGTTGAGCGTGGCTCTTGTGCACATGTGTTTCGGATGCGTTGGCATCATCGTGCATGAAGACTCAATTGGAACCACGGTGGGGCGAAAGGAAACAATAGCACGTAGAAGCGTTCAGCTCAAGCTGAGAAATAGGGAGGACAAGACTGTAGAGTTGCAGACCAGTCTTCTCACCATGGCTCGTCGCTCGTCCATGCTCTTGGTGGCTGTGTGCCTGGCCCTCTTCGGTCTTGCTGCCATGTCTTTCGTCTCAGCAGCACCTGAGGCTGCACGAACTGAGACACACAAAGACCGAGCAGCACAAGCCGCGGCCATCTCGGCTGCAGTGCTGACTGTGCCTGAGATCGCGCATGCTGGCAACTCGGGCTACGCATTGCTGCAGCTTGGCTGGGCTATTTTCATCATCTCCCTGGGTCCTGCTGTGCTCTTCTGGATCTACTTCAACAAGCCGGAGCTGCTGTGAGTGTAGTAGTAGGGCCTCGATTTTTGAATGTTGAGAAGTCACATTCCGAGCTCACTAACTCTTGAAGAGGTGGGCAAAAAATGAGGTGCGACAGCATACTGCAAAGGATTGGGGAATGCTGCGTAGAGGGTTTTTAATGGCGCACTGTATTTCGTGCATTGAACCATCCATTGATCCACGTGACCAGTTGTAGTGACGGTCATGAGAGGCACACTGGCTATACAACGCGCTGACTTTGCAAAGGCTTGTTTTTGCCAATGATGTTATTAATATATGATGCAGGATAAACTGCGATGTATATAGCCTTTGTGATTTGGCACTTGTTTGGTCTTTTTCATGGTTTGGCACTGACTTATTGATGCATCATGGCCTGGACTACACAAGAACAGGTTCGAAAGGCTTTGCACAGAATGTGCTGAGCATGAAGCTTCCAAAGCGTTCCGCTCAAGCTGATTAATAGGGAGGACAAGACTGCAGAGTTGCAGACCAGTCTACTCACCATGGCTCGTCGCTCGTCCATGCTTTTGGTGGCTGTTTGCCTGGCCCTCTTCGGTCTTGCTGCCATGTCTTTCGTCTCAGCAGCACCTGAGGCTGCACGAACTGAGACACACAAAGACCGAGCAGCACAAGCCGCGGCCATCTCGGCTGCAGTGCTGACCGTGCCTGAGATCGCGCATGCTGGCAATTCGGGTTACGCATTGCTGCAGCTTGGCTGGGCTATTTTCATCATCTCCCTGGGCCCTGCTGTGCTCTTCTGGATCTACTTCAACAAGCCGGAGCTGCTGTGAGCACACTCAAGGGCTGGATTTTTCAATGCCAGCAAAGACTGCCATCTCGAAACAGCAACAGGCAAAAGCAGCCCCTGGATACAACCGTCGCGTCTTGTGATGAGTCGTCCTGTGTCGGCCGTTGGGTCGGTGTTGTTTAAGGTGATTGGTTGTTTTTCCTATGGTTGAATCATGTTGAGTCCCCTTCTGGGGTATATGTGTTATTCTATGCAGGTTCCTTAAGCAAATCCACGTCGTGACCAGCCTGCTGCGTTTCCCCATGTATTCCTGCAAGATGTCCAAGGCCCGCCGTTTTGTGCTAGAGTGTTTCTAGACCATATGTTGCCGTTTACTCTTATGCCAATATAGAGGCCATTGTAGACATCAAAGATCTGTTTGGATCTGAAAATGGGTGAACCCAATTGACCTCAACCCGTGACTCTTTTCAGAGCATGTTGCCTTCACCTTCACACACCTGGAGCTCATCGCAAGCAGGTTTCTGGAAGGTTCCAGTCTGAGAGTGGTAGTCAGAAACTGTCAGAGGGTCAAGTGTCCTCTAATTGCATTGCATGCCTGAGGTCAACAATGCCCAATTAAATCTGTTCAGATGGGACAAGTCTGATCACAACCGCGAACAGTGACTTGAACAGTGCAGTTCGGTGTGTCGCTGATTCCACTTGAAAGTGTCCACATGTAAAGAGCGAAGCCCTCGCACTTGTGGTCTTACTTGGTATATTATACATGTGCATTTGAAACACAAATGTGTGTGTGTGTGTGCGGTTTTCCATGCCATATCACATCCACAACTTGAGTGTGAGGCTGCCTTCAAAATGAATGCCGGACTCAAATCTCGTCAACTGTCAGCACCCAAAGCGTTCAGCTCAAGCTGAGAAATAGGGAGGACAAGACTGTAGAGTTGCAGACCAGTCTACTCACCATGGCTCGTCGCTCGTCCATGCTCTTGGTGGCTGTGTGCCTGGCCCTCTTCGGTCTTGCTGCCATGTCTTTCGTCTCAGCAGCACCTGAGGCTGCACGAACTGAGACACACAAAGACCGAGCAGCACAAGCCGCGGCCATCTCGGCTGCAGTGCTGACTGTGCCTGAGATCGCGCATGCTGGCAATTCGGGCTACGCATTGCTGCAGCTTGGTTGGGCTATTTTCATCATCTCCCTGGGCCCTGCTGTGCTCTTCTGGATCTACTTCAACAAGCCGGAGCTGCTGTGAGCACATTCAAGGGCTGGATTTTTGAATGTTGAGAAGTGACATTCCGCAACCTCTACACAGCCGCTTGAAGAGGCGTGCAAAACGTTTGCGCAAGCCCATGTCTTGCGACATGCTTGCTGCAGGAGCTGTTTGTTTTCCACTTACCACAAGGCACTTTGGGTCTTTGCCGGCTTCCAATGCTGTGGAGTAGAGAGTGCATTGGTTCACTCTTTGTTGTTTCATCATGCCATTCATGTTTGTACATGTGAGTAGTAACCCCAAAAAATGAAGTATAAGTACCATTCCCAAAAACAAATCTAGCTGATGCCTTTCAATTCCATCCCACTCCATAGTGATGAGACATGTGATGACAGATAATTGACGTCCGCAAATTGTGAACAATAGTGCACTCATTGGAGCGTTCAGCTCAAGCTGATTACTAGGGAGGACAAGACTGTAGAGTTGCAGACCAGTCTACTCACCATGGCTCGTCGCTCGTCCATGCTCTTGGTGGCTGTGTGCCTGGCCCTCTTCGGTCTTGCTGCCATGTCTTTCGTCTCAGCAGCACCTGAGGCTGCACGAACTGAGACACACAAAGACCGAGCAGCACAAGCCGCGGCCATCTCGGCTGCAGTGCTGACCGTGCCTGAGATCACGCATGCTGGCAATTCGGGCTACGCATTGCTGCAGCTTGGCTGGGCTATTTTCATCATCTCCTTGGGCCCTGCTGTGCTCTTCTGGATCTACTTCAACAAGCCGGAGCTGCTGTGAGCACACTCAAGGCCGTTATTTTTCCGAATGTCGGAAAGGTCAGGAACTGACATTCTGAAACCAGCACTCAGCCCGTTGACAGGAAAAAGGCTCCAGAAATCCGTCGGGAATACTTTTCAGCGTTCCTCATATTATCTCATATTCATGATATTTATGATGGGGCCTTGCAAGCTGCTTCACGCACTGATGTTCGGTCACCCCTCTCCTCTACCCATCCATCCTGGCAAGGCCTCTCCACATCATTCAATTGGTAAATTGCTGAGGTGTAAGTACAGGGACACATCCATGAAGAGCCTACACCTGTTGAGGCGTTCAGCTCAAGCTGA